AATTTTAAGTTTTTTCAAAAGCTAATGCAAAATTTTGAACATGGTACTAAAAATGAAACAATAACTAAACCTTAGGTATGATTTTGAAAGAAAAAAAAGTTTAGGTACTAAAACGGACTAAAATTGATATTTTAGATAATAAACACGTATTTTCCCCTTTTTTATGGAAAAAACCCCGTCACTATCTGTAGTCATTACGAAAACTACAAACTCTCCGGTCACCAAAGATGCAATCCTGGAGCTTGACACAACCGGAAATCTCGTACTGATGGACGGGACGACACCGTTTGGACGTCAAACACGTCGGGAAGCCGAGCCGAGTTCGCCGTCATGTCAGAATCCGGGAATTTCATCCTTTACACGGCCAACAACCGCCCTGCGTGGCAGAGTTTCGCGCATCCGACGGATACACTTCTTCCTAACCAACCCTTGACTGTGTCACTCGAGTTAACATCATCGAAATCGGTCCCCCATGGCAGCTACTATGCTCTCAAGATGCTTCAACAGCCCACTTCATTAACACTTGCCTTGACATACAACTTGCCCGACACATTTGATCATTCCCCTGAAGGTTACTCGAATTATTCCTATTGGGCTTCACCCGACATATCGAACGTTACCGGCGATGTCGTTGCGGTTTTAGACGAAGCGGGAAGCTTCGGAGTCGTCTATGGCCAGTTGTCGAACGGTGCGATTTATGTGTATAAGAACGATGGGGACTATGATGGATTATCTTCGGCTACGAATAAATCGAATGTCCGATTATCGGTGCTTTGGAGATTGATCATCGAGATTAATGGCAACCTACGTTTGTATCGATAGGATAACGATGTTAATGGTTCGCGCCAATGGGTACCTGAATGGGCAGCTGTGTCGAACCCCTGTGACATTGCTGGTATATGCGGCAACGGGATATGTAACTTGGATAGAAGCAAGACGAATGCTTCTTGTACATGTTTACCCGGTACTTCCAAGGTAAGCGGTCCGGCTAATGGAACGTATTGCTCTTTGAACAAGTCGACAACCGGAAAATGCGATTATTGGAACAGAAATCGGACCTCAGACTTCAAGATTGCAACAGTACAGCAAACCAACTACTATTTCTCTTATTATTCAGTGTTGGCAAATTACAGTGATATTCCCACGGTCTCAAAGTGTGGAGATGCTTGGACTACGGGGGATTCGAGGACCCTGGTTCGACCCTGTTGTTAAGGTCAGGTCTAATGTCTCTTTGGGTCCAGGTGGTGATAGGTCCGGGTCTGGTTCTATTCATGACAAGATTTTGGTGCTTCGGATTGTACTAAGCATGGGTGTCCTTATTGGCCTACTTTGTCTACTGTTGTATTACAATGTTCATAGAAGGAGATATAAAGAAATCCACTGAAAGCTCTTTGATCTTTGAAGGGGCACCGTTGAATTTCGGCTACCGCGATTTGCAGGGCAATTTTTCTCAATTGCTCGGAACAGGTAAGACAGAGACATATACATATACATATACTGCAGAATCTCAGAGTTTCACATATGCACTTGGAATTGATATGATCATTTGCAGGAGGGTTTGGAAGCGTATACAAGGGAAGTCTTTCGGATGGAACATTGATTGCTGTCAAGAAACTCGACCGCGTTTTTCCGCACGGCGAGAAGGAGTTCATAACCGAAGTGAACACAATTGGCTCCATGCATCACATGAACATGGTTCGCCTATGCGGATACTGCTCCGAGGGTTCACACCGGTAATAAATCCGAATTACTCATTGTTCTCTGTTCAGTTTGTTTTGTAAAATGACTTGTTCGAATGAGCAGTCTATATGTTTTTGTTGGTAGTCTTCTGGTGTATGAGTTTATAAAAATGGATCCCTAGACAAGTGGATCTTTCCTTCCCATCAGTGCCTGGATAGGATGTTGTATTGGCCGACTCGGTTCAATATCGTCATTGCGATCGCACGAGGGATTGCGTACTTTGACGAGCAATGCAGAAACCGGATAATACACTGCGACATCAAGCCGGAAAATATCCTCTTGGACGAGAACTTTTGCCCCAAAGTATCCGATTTCGAACTAGCCAAGTTGATGGGAAGAGAGCACTCGCATGTTGTTACTATGGTAAGAGGAACTAGAGGGTATTTAGCACCGGAATGGGTTAGCAACCGTCTAACCGTAAAAGCCGATGTTTACAGTTACGGAATACTACTTTTGGATATTCTCGGCGGCCGAAGAAACCTCGACATATCTTACGATGCCGAGGACTTCTTCTACCCCGGATGGGCCTGTAAGGTATACTCTGTACTCATTAGTCCTAACGATCCATCCTCCATATAGCTCAAAAAAAAATTGTATCTACTTAATCGTATTTAGCAATTGTACGTGCAGGAGATGACAAACGGAACGCCGATGAAAGTCGCGGATAAACGACTAGGAAGTGCAGTCGACGAAGAACAGCTGACCCGAGCGTTGAAAGTCGCCTTCTGGTGCATTCAAGACGAGGTCATCGTGAGGCCTTCGATGGGGGAAGTGGTGAAAATGCTCGAAGGGTCGATGGATATCAACGCGCCGCCGATGCCTCAAACGGTATCGGAACTTGTCGAGGAAGGCTTGTAACATGTGTACAGAGCAATGAAAAGGGATTTTAATCAGTCAAGCTCGTTTACCATGACTACACATCCGTCATCTCTGGCTACCTGCAGATATTCAACAATGTCACCCCGATGATCTATAAGATTGAAAACAGCGTTGCGGCCGTAATTTATTACTATTACGTCACTGGGACAGGGGGACAAGGTTTTCATCATCACAGCACCACGTTTCATGTGTTCTTTCCTCGATAACAATCTACAAACGTTTCCTTTTCTCACATGGTTCTAAGTCTTCGCCATTATTTTCCCAGAAAAAAAACCCGTGAAGAAAACAACACGTACAAAAGTCAAGAAGGAGTAATATTAATATACACCCATAATTTACTTTATGCACAAAAAAGGGTAAATTAGGTATTAATATCTAAACTATTAGTTTTATTCGTTTTAGTACTTAAACTATCAGTTTTAGTTCGTTTTCGTACCTAAACTTTAAATTTTTGTTCAAAACTTAACGTTAAATTTTGAACGGGTACTAAAATGAAAAAAAAAAAACTAAAATTCTTGTATGACTTTGAAAAAAATTAAAGTTTAGGTACTAAAGCGGCCCAAAATTGATCGTTTAAGTACTAAAAGTGTAATTTACTCAAAAACTAGTTTCCATTAAAATCCATCTTCCTGGAATCTGCACTCGAAGGTCACAAGGAACTAACGAAAAAAAACGCGCTCACATCATCTATATAAATTCACGTTGCGTTTACGTTATCATCAACCACAGCAACTACTATTCACCATTGCTGAGCTCACTGCCGAGAAACAAAAGAGAAACATGCATCTCTACGAGAAGAAGACGCGGCTATTAACGATTGCTTACCTTTTATTCCAAGCCGTAGCTTTTGTCTCAATAACCAAACAGCAAGCTTGTTCATCCGGCGGTCAATGCCGGAACTTGGTTTGGTTGCCCTTCGTTTTGTCCATGTAGTCGTCTTTGATCTACTTCCTGGCGTTGTTGGATATTCTGCCTAGTTTCTTCTGGGTTCGGTATCAGCTGGAGTTGAGTTTCATGGAGCAGGGAACTGTGAATAAGCAAGCCGATGACGAGGTTTCAGGTTTATGCTATTAAAGCCAGAAATTTGCATGTATAAGCATATGATAAATAAGGTTTCATACAGAATGAATAATAATAATAATAATAAATAATAATAAACTGTGTGAATTTCTGATGCATTGATTTATATAATTTGATGCACCGTTTAGTACATTAGTGTAGAATTAACTTAACGAAGTGATTAACTAATTTTAGTGATTAAGGGATTTGTTATTCCTCGAGATTCAAGGTTCGAACACCTTGTATATAAATGTATGAGTATTTATTATCAAATATTTAAATATTTAAACGTATAATACATTGCATTCACCCCATATTTATATAAAAAAATTAAAAAGTGTATATATAAATACCAGTTACTATTACTTTTTTGGGTAAATTACGTATTTAATACTTAAACTATTAGGTTTGCTCTGTTTTAATATTTAAACTTTCAATTTTTTCAAAACCATAACTAATGTTTACTTAAACTATCAGGTTTCCTATTAAAAAGTGTATATATAAATACCAGTTCCTATTAGTTTTTGTTTTATTTTAGTACCCCGCCGTTAAAAACTTAACGTGTTTAGTACCTAAATTTTCATTTTTTTCAAAATTTAATGTTAAATTTTGAACGAGTATTAAAATGAAACAAAAACTTAATTTTAGGTATGGTTTTGAAAAAAATTGAGAGTTTAGGTACTAAAACAGATAAAAACTTATAATTTAAGTACTAAACGCATAATTTATCCAATTTTTTATTAGTCTAAACGATTATAAGGTAATATTTGTTTAGAATTTTCTTAACCTATTGATAATACACGTACCTTGTTAAGATCGTTACCCGAATTCAAAAATTCAACATTCTCTTTTCCTATCAAAGTAATTTAATAAAAAAATTATATATGTAATATGAGTGGTTAGTTAGTAAAAATAGAAAAAGGGTGATATTATTTTTTTAACCCTTGAATTTGATAAAATTTTCTATTTTTAATTTTTATTTTTCTGTTGAAACTAAGAATATTATATTATATGATAATATGAGTGGATAATTAGTAAAAATAGAAAAGTGTTTACATTAATTCTTAATTCTGATAATTTTTATTAATTTTATTTTTTTCTAAATATAATACTCTGATATTATATTATATCATGAAAAACAAAAAATGACCAAATTAAAAATTTATTAAAATTTAAGATTAAAAATTAATTTATCCCAAATAAAAATTAGCAATTAGCTACTGAAAAGTGAACTCAGCTACAGTATGTGACACGTAATCAGCAATTTAACCGGAAAAAAAGGTACATAAAAATCACTATATATATTTAAAGCACCCAAGCTCTTAGCAAATTCCATCGAAGAATCTAAAGATTCTTTTTCTAAATGCAAGATTCAAGATTGAAGCCCCCAATCCATACGCTTTGCTTCCTTTTACGTTCGATTGCCATGTAATTCTGCAGGGTACAATCTCTGTAAAATTTTCGTAATCTTGTACAGATTTAGAATGACAGTTGCACCAAACCCTAGACCAAATTCTTCATGTTCTTGATTCGGTTAAAGTTTTCTTTTCATAATATGTTTTGAATCATAGTTTGATTAATATTTGGTTGATCCTAGAATTCACCTAGTTTGTAGTGCTTAAGGTTTTCTTTGTTTCTGTAGATTGAATCAGATGGACACTATGCAACAGGCGGAGGAGCTTGTGAGGGAATATTTGGTCTTCAGAGGATTTACTAATACATTAAAATCTTTTGAGACTGAGTTGTGTACGGATATTGGTAACGGCTTTCAAGTGAATAAGATGTTAGACTTGATTTTCGCGGTTTATATTCCTAAATTCCAGGCCGAGAAATTAGTTGGTCTGTTTAGGTTCTTCGAGCAATGGTTTTCGTCATGGTCCGAGACCGCGATGCTTGAAACCTTGTCGGAATTGGAGTGCTCTGTTCTTCGGTGTTACATTGTTCATGCATTGCAAACTTCTAGCCGGTAATTTTCATTTCTTGACGGTTGCATCTTCGTTCTGTTTCATTAATGGGACCGAATTTAGTAACGTGGATACTACACTTTGTAGGTTTTCCGACTCCAAGAGGTCAAAATACTGTAGAGATGAAATGTCATCGGATGCTGACGGGAGGCAGCTATTAGTAACATCCGGCTCTGTAAGGGCACCCATATTTCAGGTGAGTTATCCGCTGCCTTTTGACAATCATTGGCCAGTATCAAAACTAATTGTTTCGGCCTTTATATATATATTTTTTATCATGGATCAGGTACAAGGCCATTCAAGCGGATTCAGAACTCTTTCCCACACTGCAGCAATAACAACCGTGGATTGGCACCCAACCTTGCCGATTTTCTTGACCGGTCAGCAGACTACTCGGTTCGAATAACTTCCATACCATGAAGACAACATTACATCTGTATCTGCTTCCCAATTTCGGGTAAATGAAGACCAATTATAGGCTTTGTAGTATGAAAAAATAGTTTTTTTTTTCATTTTTGCTTGCATGTTTGAGCATGCCATCCGTTTGCTGGTGTTTGGAAGAGGTAATCTCGTGATTGACGTTGTAAGTCATTGAATGTTTGTACCGTAAATCTATTTTTTTTTTCATTTACTTGTGAACTGTGCTCTGTCTCTCCATATCAGTAATTAACAACAAGCCAACTGCAGGTGAACATCATTTGTTATTATGAAGGATGGTAGTTTTTTTTTTCAATCCATGGATTAAAGCAAACAGAAGAAAACCCAGAATAAATAAAGACAATACAGGCTAAACCAAACGTGTCCAATCAATCATATGACGTGAAGGAACCTACTAAAACCTAACCTGGATCCTCTTCTTTCTCTGCGCTTGTTCGAAATACTAAGAATTTGCATGAAGATGATCAATCGGTCAAGTGGATTCTCCATTAATCTTCAAGCCTCTACACTTTGCGGACCTGAATATTGTGAGTGGACTGGGATCGCCAGATGGGCTGTTTGCCACTCTGAACAAGTGCCACATCTTCTCCCTTCTTTACCATTCCATGCTTCTGCACATCAATCATATTAGTTCTAGCACGGTATATAAAGAATCGATCCATTTTTCTAAGAGGAAATGGGGGAAGGAGGCAACAAACAGCACCAAGATGCAGTACGATCAATGAACCACTTGATACCAGGTTCCAAAATAAACGTGAACCGACTGATGCATGAACAAAAGCTAAAACTTTACCTGTAGCAGAGCTAAAGCATCCTTAAAGGTTTCCTCGGCATCATCTGAGAACTCCATGTATATGGGGCATACCCCTTGGTACAAAGCCAATCTTTGTTGTATCCTTTTCCTGCATGACCATTAAAGTAATTGTCAGTCTAACATTCAAGCCCTGCAACGCCCGGTACTGGTAGTCTAGTAGATACTCATTTTTGGCCATACACTACTAGCCAACTATTGCACTTATGTTTTCATTGATATTCTCAGCCCATTACCCTTTCCGATTAATATTTCTTCATCAAGTCAAAACTCAAATGGATAGACCATTAATGTGCCACAATACAAAATAAATTGGACATAAAGAAGAGAGAGAAACAAAAAGGGGGAGCCTTTAACTAAGGTTAAACAATTGTAACAAATTTCAGATTCGGGAATGGGAAAAACTCACTCGTTTGTGAAGGCAAAAATGGTGCCAGAAGGACGATAATGGCTAAGTAATATAGCCATGAAACCAGTTCTGGTGAAGACAACGGTGGAAAGTCCAAGAGTATTTGACATCATGGTTGCATGATATGCAAACATCTCACTCATATGGTTCTATGAAGTAGTAACTCCCGTCAATATTGATAGTTGATAAAGAAAAAGAAAGTATTGAGAATATGGCCAAGAAACAAAGAAAAAAAGGAGGCCTAAAAGCCTATAAAAAGTGCATGCAATGTGTTAAGTGACCTTAAACACTTGTCCAAGATTAGGTGGCATTTCACCACCAGGTATGGTTGCTTCAGTTCGCAGAGCAACCGTATGCATCACTTTAACAGCTTTCAATGGGAACCTACAAGAAAGTGAATTTTTTTCAAATTGCATTTAGGTAGAGCAATTTACATATACTGTCCATAAATTAACCGCTCAAGAGAAAATATAAAGCAAGCTGACCCGACGATATTGTCCAAGGGATATTTGCTACGTTGATATTCAAGTATTCTTATACCTTCACCAACTAGAATTCAAGGATATTCAATAAACTTCCTGTTTACCACAAGGGATGTTTTTAAACTAAACTTCCTAATCTTTACCTACTTCTAATAGAAAATTTAACAAGGGCTGCTAGACATACAAGAAAAAAGGGGTAAGAAGAGCAATAAGTTTAAAAATTTGTAAAATGCAATGGACTTAACTTCCTTACTTTCCATGAGCTGTTTCTCCAGAAAGCATGACAGCATCAGCACCCTCTCGAACAGCAATGGCAATATCAGATACCTCTGCTCTAGTTGGTGTTGGATGAACAATCATGCTTTCAAGCATATTGGTTGCCACAATTACAGCTTTCCCCATGCTTCGGCATGTTCTGATTATCTCTTCCTACATTTTACACCAAGTAGAATTCTAAATGGATAAATAAACACATTTTCATTTCTTTTCTAGTTTAGAAAACGTGTTTAATAATTCATCCAAATCCAGTCTTTACAGTTAAATAAAAAGCCTGAACGAACCTGTAACAAAGGAACCTCCTCAATAGGAAGTTCTGCACCAAGATCTCCTCTTGCAACCATTGCCTAAAATAAAAGAACATGGATTACTTTTTACACAACACATCTATCACTGAAGTGGTAATAACTAGAGTTTACTTCAAATCATATTCCAGACTCCCAGAGCTTTCCCCATTACAGTAAAGAAGATGGTAAAAAGAAGTAACAGCTAAACCCAAAGATGCTACCTAATATTTGAAATGAACGGCCTCATAATAATTTAGCACCAATTTTCCTGAATGAAGGAGTGTTTTTAGGCAAATATAGAACAAAATGTATTAAATAGCCAGAAAACTACTTATATCTTTCTACACATAAATAACCTAAAATTAGCTGCATTAAATATTCAGCAAAAAGATTTAAGTGATCACCCCATCAGACGCTGTAATAATTGAATGCAAATTTGGAATGGAGTCTGCACTTTCAATTTTAACAATAACATGAATGTCAGCATCACAGCCTGCCAAAAGCGAAAGAAAAAATCATTAGCGGAGACTTTAAAGCATATACCAAGTCTACTGTTACTAGTTCATGAAAAATCTCAAGATAACTTACTCCGCAGATAATTCTTCAACTCATGAACAACTTGAGCATCTTTAACAAATGAAACAGCATAAAAGTCAACTTTATTGTCTACTCCAAATTTTATGTCATCCCAGTCCTTTTCTGCAGAAAATCAATGGAAATAGTTAATCCGTTGTGCCTTACAATCCCTCAACCGAGTGAAGGGGGAGTGAGCGAAAGAAAAGGAGGAAAGTGAAAATTCTACAAAGCAGCGTAAATTTTTCATCAATTAAAATTAGAGGGCCAACCAGTAATGGAAGGCAGTGTAGCACTTTTTCCTCGGACATTTAAATGCCGCCTAGACTTGAGCTCACCACCATCAACTACTTCACACTTCACTGAATCTTTTGTCTTAGACTTCACCACTAATGACATCATACCACCTACATCACAAATCAAAAGTCAGAGGAGCATATAATCAACAAAACGAAAAAGTGTTTCTTGAGATTTTTCTAGTGTTCTGTTTTCATCACTTAAGAATAATCCAGAACACCAAATTCTTGTTTGATAATGAAAGGATACACATCGTCCTAGAAATAAAATATAGAGATATTGTATACTACTACATAATTTTATTCAATAAAAAATCTTAATTAAATAGAACAAAGAAATTTCCTCTATAACGATAAACATTTCATTTACGACTTGAGAAAGACCCAAGAAAGTATGAATTGCATTTCATATAAAACATTAAGGGGGGAAATTTTAATAAGAGTACTTTAACATGCATTTGAAAGTCTCATGGTAACATACCATCAACAAGAAGCATGTCACCAACTTCTACATCATTAACAAAATCGTCATAGTTGACACTGACACAATCAGGTGTCCCAACCCCTCTCCGAATTGTAAAAGTGAATTCCTGTCCAGTTTCTAATGTAATTGGTTGGGGCAAGTCGCCACTCCTAACCTCAGGACCCTGATAAACAGAACCAAATAATCATAAGAACACAATAAACTATAAAAAAATGAAAAGGATTAGAACTATCAGAGAAATGTACATGATATCGGTTGTTTATTGTTGCCAACATCACTATGTCTAACTAATTATAATGGCTTTACACAATAAATTAACAAACTCAATTACTCAAGCAACCTGAACATGGCGTCACAGAGTAGAACATAATGAAATTGAGGGAAACTTGCCTTGGTGTCAAGCATGATTGCAATAGTGTTGTCTTTTGATTGTGCATTATATTCCTTAACTAAATCAATAACTTTCTGATGCGATGCATGGTCTCCATGAGACATATTCAAACGAGCAACATTCATTCCAGTCTCAGCCAATTTCCAAATCATTTCTCGAGTGTTTGTTGAAGGACCAATAGTGCCAACAATCTTTGTTTTACGTCTAACGGTAGGTTTGGACCACATAGCCACTGATGTGTCACCAAGTTGTTGAATCCCCATTAATTGCTCATATTGCTCCTCTCTCTGAAGAAAAAGAGAGAAAAAAGTTACCGAATGTTATAACATATAAGCAATGGTTTCCCAGGATAAGTCCTTTGATTATAGATATAATGACAACTAAAATCATATATATTATGTCGTGCAACTGAAGTGCCCTCAATCTATAATAGAGTGCATATACCAAAAACTTAAATTTTAGGTGAGCTAGGACATATAAATCAAACTTCCTAAATCTACCCACAAATATTAAATTGTTATAAACTTCAATGCTCCATTTATTTTTTCTGTAAGAGGGAAAACAGGTGGAATCATCCCATTATCATTGATACGTTATGCTAGACGTGGCAACATTAGAAACAACACTGAAAGAATTCCATGAACACAACATAAATACACCAATATCTCAATATCTATATGATACAAATTATTACGGTATCAAAATTTATGCCAACATAAAATATTTTAACAAGATCACAACGTAGCGAAGTACACGAATACTACACAGATACATGAATTACTTTTATGTCATTCATTTTTCAGATAGTATCTTTGGCAAATACATAACAAGCAGAAAATGAAACACTGGCTTCAAACAAATAACAATATCTCAGCAGAAAACTTTGACGTGAGTTCGAATATTTTTCTCATGGTTTGGTGTCAGATTGTCAATGAAACCATGACTATAGTGCACAACGGCTACCAGATTTCTCCTTTTATAGGATAATGCATGGTCAACAAACCAAACAGAACATTATACAACTTCACTGTACGCCATAGTACCACTAC